TTATTCAAGTGGAATGGATGAGGAAAAGAGGAATTTAATAAGATAAATGAGAAATTAAAAAATCGCAGTGGACATTGAATTTAAAAGAACTGCAAAAACAGTACAGACTTACCTATTCATCCGCAAGTGCACCTGCTCCGAGGAAGATGGGTCACGGTCAATGGGTCATTCTGCCGATCCTTGCCACTCGCAGGTCACTTTCACTTTTCAGTCCACAATTTTACGATCATCTGTTCTACCTGCGAGCGGCAAGAATCGACATGTTGACCCATTGACGCACTTGCAGATGAATGGGTAAGTCCAATGTGTACTGTTCGCTTCGTACTGAGCGGAGCACTTGTTCCCCTGGCTATAGCCGAGCATTACGACTCGAGTTAAGAGGTCCATCATTGAGCGCGGGCGGACCGCACGCTCTCAGTCAGTGGTCAGCGTTTTTCGCTTATAATTCAAAAACCAAGACCCATTTTATATTTTGCTAAACGAAATTGTTGTTCAGAATGACTCTTCCCCTATGCCATTTCTGGCTGTAACACTTTTTACGGAATACCCTGTATAAAAATTAACTAACGAAACGCTTATGCCAGTTATGTTCAATTATAATTTTTTAAACTTTATCAGTTATTTTTTGTTTTTAATGCCACAGTTTGTGATAACGTAATATACGCATAAAGAGCCAAATTGATATATATATCTACATACATTACATTATTTATATGTAATCAAAGCCAAACAGTATAATACATTGCTAATAATTCTTGAATAGTATGAAAAAAGTGAATTGTGCTACATGTGTTCTAATTTTAAAAACAGTAGAAATTTACTTTGTACTGCATTATGTACTACAACAGACGAGTGTTGTTAAATGAATCTTCTCGTAAAATATTAGAAAACAGATCGTAATTTATTCTTGAAGTTAGTATGAATTGACAAGTAATTGCTTCATCATACATTTATGTAAAGCATAAATGTGTCAGTGTTTGAATATAATAGAAACAAATTTTATACAATTTAGTGTAATATTTTTAATACAAC